AAAACAACACCTTTCATAATAGTATCTAAACCTGGGATTTAGCTCAGTGGTTCTGCCGCCTGCCCCGAAAGCCCAAGGACCTGAGTTTGATCCCCAGGACAAAAAAAAACCAAAAAATACAAAAAGCATAATACCATCCAAAAAAGAAATACCTAGGAATCAGTTTAACAAAGAAAGTAAAAGACTTGTACATTGAAAACTACAGTACTCTGAAAAAGGAGATCAGAAAGAATATCAGAAAACGGAAAGATATCTCTTGTTCTTGGGTAGGAAGAACCAATAGAGTGAAAATGACCATACTCCCACAATTGTTTTACAGATTTAATGCAATCCCAATAAAAATACCGATAGCATATCTCACAGAATTAGAGAAAACAATCCTAAAATTCATTCGGAACCAGAAAAGACATAGAATAGCAAAAGCAATTCAGGGCAGAAAAGGCAAGGCAGGGGGCATCATAACCCCCAATGTGAAATTATACTACAAAGCTACTATGATAAAGACAGCATGGCACTCACAGAAAGGAGCAAGGGGACAGCTTAAAAGATGCAGTAACAGCTCCAAAAACACTCAGCCACCTTCTCTTTGACAAAGGAGCCAAACACCTGCACTGGAAGAAATAACATCTTGAATAAATGGTACTGGGAAAACTGGCTTTCCACATGTCGAAGATTAAAACTAGACCCATGTCTCTCACCATGCACTAAACTAAAATCAAAATGGATCAGAGATATAAACATTAAAACAGAAACACTAAATCTTCTGGAAGAGAGAATAGGTAGAACTCTTGAAAACTTTGGTGAAGTCAAAGACTTTATGAACAAAACCCTGATCACATAGGAAATACCACAAAGAATCAACAACTGAGATCTCATCTTATTAAAAAGATTTTGCCCAGCAAAAAGAAACCACCAACAGGGTGAAGAGACAACCAACAGTTTGGGGGAAAAAAAATTTCCAGCTCCTCCTCACACAAAGGACTAATATCTAGAATACATAAAGAATTCAAAAAAATCAGGTTGCAGATGTAACTCAGTGGCACTGCACCTGCCTGGCAAGCACTGAGTTCAATCCCCGGTACTGGAAAAAAAAAAGATAAAATCAGACACACACCCCCCAATTTAAAGACTCAATCTAAAAATGGGCATCTGAAAAGTAGAAATGGCAAATAAATGTAAGAAAAAATGTTCACTATCACTCATCATGCAAATTAAAACAATGCTGAGATTCCATCTCATTCCAGAAAGAATGGATATTATCCAAAAAATCAACCAATAACAAATGCTGGCGGGGCTGTGGGGAAAAAGGAACTCTGCTCCACTGTTGGTGGGAGTGCAGACTGGTGCAACCACTGTGGAAATCAGTATGGAGATTCCTCAAAAACTAAAACTAGAGGTTCCATTTGGCCTAGATTTCCCCTTCTTGGTATCATCCTATAAGAATTTAAAACATCATACCACAGCAATGTATGTACACCCATATTTATAGCAGCACAGTCTGTAATAGCTAAATCTTGGAAACAGCCCAAATGCCCATCAATCAACAAATGGTTAAAGAAGTTGTGGGTTTTTATACAATGGAGTACTACTCTGCCATAAAGAAAGATAACCTTGAGACATTTCTAGCTAAATGAATGCACCTTGAGACCATACTCTTAAAGTGAAATAAATCAGACACACAGGTTTAAATACCATATTGTTTCTCTGGTGTGAGAAACCAAAAGTATAAATAAAGACCAAAATATATAATAGATATTGGGAAATGGAAGAAAATCTTCAAATGGGAAGGGGAACAAATGGGAGGAGGGAAGAAGATGAGTAAAGAAGGGAAATAAGGAAACAAAGTTTTATAAATAAGGAAGGGAGGAGGGGTTGAAGGAAGGAAAGGGGAATGGGACTATAAGAAGCAAGATAAGGGCCTGAGATCTACCTCAGTGGTGCCGCCGCTGCCTGCCGCTGGGGTCCTGGGCTGGAAACGCGCCCTCCACAGGAGGAGAGCAGCCTCCGCAAAGGGAGGACGAGCCAGCCGCCTCGTTCCTACAAGGCCAGGAGACACGTCTGGTCACCGGGAGGACAGATTTACAGGCAAATTAGACAAACAGATTGTTATGGTTTTGGTTGCTCTTGCATGCATCCCAGTCAGACCATCATTTCCTGGTCCCCTGATATAACAGCCAAATAACTTAGAGACTTCGGGAGGCTTCATAAATACAATTCTCAAACATCCTCTCTCTCGGGCCAGGGATTTAGCTCAGTGGTTCCGACGCTTAAGCTCAAGGACCAGAGTTCGATCCCTGGTACCAAAACCAAAACCAAAACAACAACAACCCCCCCCCCCCCCCCCGTTCTCTTCCCCCCTCTCTGTTTCTCTCTCTCTCCACATACCAGATGTCACGGGCAAGCTCCTGGCAAGTGCTGAATCGCAATCAATGCATAGTGACAAGTGACTAAAATTCCCACTCTGTGTTGCTGCGTGGAAGAAAATACATATGGTTTGGATCCCAGGGCTGCAGACGGCAGAGTCAAAAGTGTAGGGAAAATTTAGGAACCTGATTTGAATTTTCCAGAGACAAAGCATCCTACTTCTTCAGAGGAAGTAGAGGTCCTCATTTTTTTTAACCTCAAAGAATAGCTTTGGATCAACTCAGAAACTCAAAAAAGAAGAAGTGCTTCCTTGACCCCAGCATCTTGGGAGTCTCTGGCAGGAGAACAGCAAGTTCGAGTCCCACTTGGACAACAGCAAGCCCTGGTCTCAAAATCAAAAAATAAGTTAACAAATGAAAAAGGGCTGGGAATATAGCTCAGTGTGAAGGTGCTAGGTTCATCTCCCAGTACCAATTTTTAAAAAACAGTGCAGGGCCGGGATTTAGCTCAGTGGTTTCAGGTCCTGAGTTCGATCCCCGGTACCCAAAAAAAAAAAAAACACACAAAACAGTGCTTTGTAAATTTGTATCACAATACACAGAAGGAACCACGTTGTCTGCAAAGGTTAGAAGTACAGCCCAGAGCCAGACACCTGAATTTCAACTCTACTACCTGCTAACACGGTAGCCTTGGGCTGGTCACCGGGTCTCGCCCACCCTGTCGCCCCGGCTGCTCCAAGGTTTTATCTGTGCCGATGAAGCGCTGGCACAGAGAGAGCGTTTCACAGACACCACCTCGGGCTACCTGGGACTGGGATGGCTCTTTGTTAATAGCTCCAGGAACTTTAGCATAAACCGTGAGAAGCTGGACTGAGGAGAAGAGCTTAGGCCTGAGAGTGCCTCTGACCTCCCCATAAACACCTGCCTGCAGCTGGGCTCCGTGTCGCATCCAAGTCATGCACAGCCTGGAGAGGCTGAGACAGGAGGTTTGCCACATATTAGAGGCCAGCCTGGGCTACACAGTGAGTTCAAGGCCACACTGAACTAGGTATCGAGACCCTGTCTGCAGATGCAAGAATAGATGAACTGTGGCCCACAAGGCAAAGCCCCTCCCCAGTGCCAGAGTCCTGCCGGAGTCACAGGCCTGGCCGGGCTGCTCCCGAGCCTCTGGCCATTTTAGCCTGTGGGGCTGGAGGAACACAGGCAGAGCCACCTGGAAGCAGGAAGTGAAGGAGGACGGGAAGCCTGCCTCTGCAGATGTTCAGGTGACTCCGTGACTCCCACGTGAGTCACTTCTCTTCCCAGGAGGGACAAAGAGAGAGGCTGGGCCTGTTTCTTTCCAGGCATGGCCAGGGTGAAGAGGAAGCCGTAGTGTCCTAGTCTTGAGCTGTGTGGAATTCTAGGTGAAAGGGCTTGACCCTGGCAGTCCCTTTGTGGGCCAGAGGATTCCTGATTTGTCTACTTGTTATTCATCCCATTTATGTACTAGTTTTACCTGTTTAACTAGATCACGTGTAAAGCACTTAATACTACTAAAGAGATTATAATCCCAGCACTCAGGAGGCTGAGGCAAGGGGAATTCGAGGCCAGCCTAAACTACATAGCAAGACCCTGTCTCAAAAAAAGTACAGTTTTCTTTGTTAGCATTTGCTATGGTTAGCTTTAGTTGATTAAATTTGAATTAAAAGAAAGCCACGGCTGGGGATTTAGCTCAGTGGTTCCAGTACCTGCCTCACAAGCACAAGGTCCTGAGTTCGATCCCTGGTACCAGAAAAATAAAAAAACAAAAGAAAGCCAAAAGCAGCAATATTTAATACCAATTTGAATTTAAATTTCACCTGAGAAGGATTTTATTCTTATCTTTTCCAATTCCTAAATCACCACCCAGACAGATCTCCCCCAAGACTTAGTTTCCATACTTATCTCGGTGTTAGTCTTGGCATGGTGGGGTTGTTTAGAAGCTTAGCTGAGACCGTGTTTGGAAAGGATCAATACATGAAGGTATTGAAATTTTTTTTTGAGACAGCATCTTCCTATGTCGCCCAGCCTGGCCTTAAGTGATCCTCCTGCCTCAGCCTCCTAAGTAGCCGGGATGACAGGCATGGACCATGGTATCTGGCTCTTTAACATCTTTATCATCATTATCTTTCTACTGGAGTTAAGGATATGCAGATGCACTTTGGAAAGAAACAATACGAGGGCCAAAATATGTATTTATTTAGTTTTGTGCTGGGGATCAAATGTAGGGCTTGACATATGCTCTACCATTGAACTATATCCCCCCCAAAAAAGTATATATTCAATATATAAAAGATACATTACACCTGTAATCCCAGCACTCGGGAGGCTGAGGCAGGAAGATAGCTATGAGTTTAAGGCCAGCCTGGACTCCTTAGTGAGTTCAAGCCCAGCCTGAACTGCTTAGTGAGATCCTGTCTAAAAAAAAAAAAATTGTTTTAAATATATATAGAGAGAGAGTCATGGTTTCTATCTAGATGTTCCCCAAGAGCCTCATGCACTCATAGGTGGACATTTGGAAGGTGATTACATCATGGGGGGTTCTAGCTGACCTGCTCTTAGGGGGCAGGGTCTGGCAGGAAGAGGCAGGCACTGGGGGCGTGGCCTGGAAGGGTTTCTCTCCCTGCCCCGGGGTCTCTTCTCTCTCTTCTTTCTCTCCCCTCCCCTTCCTGAAACCTACAAACTGTGAGCCAAAATAAACTGCTCCTCCATTAAGTTATGGTTGTCCACTATTGTGTCCCAGCGATGAGGAAAGTGACTTAAGACATACATTAAAATATATTTTTATGGTCTTTCTTTTTTCTTTTTTTTTGGTACCGGGGATTGAACTCGGATCCTTACACTTGCAAGGCAGGCAGTGGAACCACTGGGCTAAATCCCTGGCCATTAAAATATATTTTTAATGATTACTTTTATTTTGGTGTAAAATATCTACCTCAAAATGAAATCAGTAAAGAATGGCAATTTGAAAGTATCCGTTTCTTTCAGAGGACCACAGAGTCCCTTGCCCGGTGGTTTCCATTTGGTTTCCATTTGGTTTCCCTTTGGTTTAGGCACATATTTCTCTAGGAAAGCAGTCTCTCCACACCAGGCCCCTGGGATCCAAAGTTAAAACGTTCCACTCCCAACCCTGGTGCCCGAGCTCCTAAACCACCGTAGCCAGCTAGTGAGGACGCCTGTCCTGAGATCTGAGGGCTTCAGATCCGCAGCAGTGGCAGGCGCGGGTGTGGACGCAGGACAGACTGGGCCAGGCACAGGGACTGAGAGAAATCAGGCCTTGGGCACCTCAGCCAAGGTCGCCGGGCTACACCCGCCACTGCCGCGGCCTGCTTTGCCAGAAGGGTGAACAAAGAAGTCCCTGAAACTCCAGCCCCTCAGTGTCATTTGATTGGGTTTGTTTTTCTCAAATTGTAGCTGTGTAAATAGATATGAAGGCCCACCAGGAAGTTTAGAAGGTCGGGGTCTTCACGTTGGCTTCTTTCCTATCACCTTCCAGAAGCGGAAGTGCAGTCAGCAGGAAATGAATTCCCAGGCCGCCTCGGGATCAGGGCAAAATCTGAGCATCTGTGCAGGGAGCCTAAGGGAAGCGATTGCACGGCGCATGCGTCAGGGGCCAGGCCTGGAGGGCAAAGGGGAGAAAGGGCGCAGTGAGGAGTCAGCGGGAAGCAGGAACCGGAAGGGGCGGGGCTGGGACCTAGGTGGGGCTGGGTGCGCAGCAGGGGAGAGCGACTGGGAGTTGCCTTTTTTAACTTTTACTTTTTATTTGTCCGTGTTTGCAGTACATAAAGATCACGTTCCGTGGAGAGTTGCATGTACCTAACACATCTTAGTTCTTTCTTCACCCCCTTCCCCTCTCCTCCTCTCCCTTCCCTTGTCTCTTGGTCTCCTCCCCTCTTGCAAGAGATCTCCCTCCCTACTTCCATTATCTACCTTTTATTTTGCTCTTTATACTTTGGGTTTCATATATAAGAGAAACCATGTGATACCTAAGCTTGTGTGTCTGATTTATTTCATTTTTTAACATTGTGGTCTCAAGGAGCATCCATTTTCCAATGAATGACTCAAGTTTATCTTTATGGCAGAGTAGTACACCACTCTTTGTAAATACCACATTTTCTTTATCCATTCATCTGCTGATGGGCATACAGGCTGTTTCCAAGATTTAACAATTATGAATTGTGTTGCTGTAAACATGGGTGTGCATGGATCACTTTGATATGACTTCCCTTTCGGGAAGACACCTAGAAGGGGAATAGCTGGGTCAATGGAGTTTCTAGGTGTAGTTTTTTGAGGAATCTCCATACTGATTTCCATGGTGGGTGGACTGGTTTGCATTCTGAGGGGGAATTACTTTAAGGGACCCAGTAGCTAGAGCTGGTTATCAAAGAGCACATCAAAGAAATTCCAGAATCATCTAGAAGTCCCAACTGGGGGCATTCAAATAAAAACTGATGAGAAACGTCACTTGAAGATTAGATTGGGCTCGCATGGCCTTCAGCACTAATGTTACAAGGTTGTTTGCTATGAGAGGTCAGCAAAAGTCATTCCGACGTAGATAGAAACTGTAGGTTTCAAAGCATTTTCCACTGAGTCCCCAGGTACAAACTACACCTTCCTGCAATTAAAACGCAGCAGGAAACAGCATTCTTTCGATTTGTGGGCTCCAGCTTTGTAATCAGGTGGATTTGCTTGCTGTTTTAGTTTTGGGTTTTTAGGGGGAGGCTGTTTTTTGGTCTTTTGGGGTTTGGGAGGGTTTTTTTGGTTTGGGGGTATGTGGGGAGGGTTCTTTTCTTTTTTGGTTGAGAGAGGGTCTCATATATAGTTGAGGCTGGCTTTGAACTCCCTATGTAGCCCAGATTGTCCTCGAACTCCTGGAGATCCTCCTGCCTCAGCCTCCCAAGTGCTTAGACTACAGGCGTGCACCGGCATACCTAGCTTTGTAATCAGGTTTTGATACGCAAATCATAGCCCCTAGTTTTGCCTTTTGTGAAGTGGGTCAGAATAGTGACAGGTGATGATCCTACAGGCTGGAAGCCAGCCATGCCCAGCCAGATGGGCCAGGGAAAGGGTTTGTTCTGTTACCTTGTGCAGTGAAAACCTCTGAAGGCTTTTAATGCTACAAACGCCGGCAGGCCAGGTGGGGTGGTGGAGTGCACGAGGAGCATGCCTAAGGCCCCAGGTTCCAGCCCCAGCACCAAGAAAGAAAAAAGAACTCCTCCTCGGTTATTTTCTAGCAAAAACCTGTGCTGTAGTTAACATTACTCCTTGCGTTCCATTGGGAAATGCGCTGTGAGTCTGATTCAGTCCACATCTGGGAATAAACATATTTGTCAATACGGAGTGAAGCTGAGGGCTCGTGTCCACTGCCTGCCTAGGTTATATGCTTCCCCTTCCTTTTTTTGTGGTACTGGGGGTCAAACTAAGGGGTGCTCTACCACTGAGCCAACTCTCAGCCCTTTTGTTTTTTATTTTGAGGCAGGGTCTTGCCAGTTTCCCCAGGTGGGCTTCAAACTGGAGATGCTCCTGCCTTAGTCTCCGCCCGGCTATGCTTGGACAATATTTTAAAACAGCCCCCTGGTGGGTAAGTAGAGGCAAATTGTAGCTCACCCCCACCTTAGTGAGGTCCCCGCATAGTGCACAGCTTGTCAGGAGAGCTGGGGTGTCCCTGGACAAGGGGGTGACCTCAAGGGGCGTACATCTCATTGGGGCACAAAGAAGAACTGGAAAGAGGCTGCAATCAAGGGGGACGAAGCAGGAAAGCTTCTTGCACAGGAAGGAGCCTCTGTGACCTCAGCTGCAGGAAGGAAATTCGGGCCAAGCCATGCACAGGAGTGGGTTCGGCCATTGGAAGAAGGAAGAGGAGCCAGGCGTGATAGCGCACGCCTGTAATCCCAGCACTCGGGAGGCTGAGGCAGGAGGATTGCCAGGAGTTGGAGGCCAGCCTGGACTACATAGCGAGACCCTGTCTCAAAAAAACCCCACAAAATATAAAGGAATCAGAACTCTTCCAAGTAGTTTTTGAGGCTAACTCTTTGGAGAGTAAAATCTTAGTGTGAAGTTCTGACAAAATGAAGAGCGGAGGCCAAACACAGACAGCCAGGTGTGGGGGCCCAGGGCCCAGGCCTCCCCTACCTTCCCTGACGCCTCAGGGGTGAACGCAATGTCAGGACGGCGAAACTTCCTCCGACCTCGGGCGGGGAGCTCATAGCAAGGCCATTTCCGGAAACTGACCCCAGACGCCTTCAGGATCCCGGCGCTCTGCAGTCGCTGACCCGGAGTCCTCCAGGGGTCCCCAAGTCACCTCTGATGGACAGTGCACCCCCTGGGAAGCCCGCCAGCCAGGCCTGGAAGTGAAGACCGACTCATTTTCAAGGCCACTGTTCCCATACAGAAGAAGTCCAGCGAAGTCAGCTGATTCCCAGTCAGTTTTGGCGACGGCAGGCCAAGCAGCCCTAAATTATTTACACGCGTTGATGTCTGGCTGTCATGATGAGATTGTAGCCACTGTCCCAAATCCAGCTCATCCTCAATTTATTCTAACGAGAGAGCACTCTTACGCCGCACAGGGCCGCCTACCCTGGTCCAGCGTTTTCTGGGCTCGCAATAAAAGCCCCCCACTTGCAGTCTCCAGAAAGCTGCTGGCAGCAGTATTCATTTCTACCACAAGGTGGCGCCCGCAAACCTCCCAGCGCTGTGGGCTGCAGGGATGGTGCCTAAAACACCAGGGCCCGGCCACGCTCTTGTAACCCAACATTGGGGCCCAAGCCAGATATGTGACCGAGCCCAAGGCGCACCGCGAGTCAGGAGGCGTCAGGATCAAAGGCCATGGCCCCTCACTGCCAGATTCAAGTCCAGTCCACCAAATGGCAATGGTTTTCAAACCAAAACCAAAACAAATGGCAAAGACCACCAGCATTCTGGAGTGCATGGCTTTAATCCCAGTACTCCGGGAGGCTGAGGCAGGAGGATCACCATGAATTCAAGGCCAGCCTGGGCTACATAGTAAGCTCACTGGCAGACTGCATTGCATAGTGACACCCTGTCTCATTAAAAAAAGAAAAAAAAGAACTTAAAGCCTAATAGTTACATGAGAGTTAATATTATTAGCCATAGAATTGTAATAAAATTATAGCAAGGACTTTGAGAAATAGTGAAATTTAAAATAGCCGTTTTGGAGGAGGAGGTTTGAGACAAGGTCTCACTGTGTAATTCTGTATGGGCTCAAACTTGTGATTCTCCTGCTTCAGCCTCTCAAGTGCTGGTATTTTAGGCGTATGCCACTATGCCTGTTTAAATAACTTATAAACAATCGATGTCTTGGCCTATCAAGACAAAAGGAAAACCTTAATGGTGTAAAATGCTTGTAGTGGAGACCAAATACAGTGATTTCTCCAGAGCACCATTAGGCACTGTGAAGATAACTTATTTTGGTTTGGTTTGGTTTGGTTTTTTGAAACAAGGTCTCACTATGTAACTCAGACTGGCCTCGAACTCATGGTGCTCTTCCTGCCTCAGCCTCCAGAGTTAACTTATTTTGAAAGCAGAGTTTTGCAAGGCCTGATGAAGGGAAGAAATGGCAACACCCATCAGATATGTAGGCTAAAAAGACTCCAATGACCACATGAACAACTACCTGCCCCTCTAATGGAGGTGCGGTATGGGTTTATACACAACACTCACTCTATGTATTATTGATTAACTAACTAAACAAAACACGTGTGATATTATCAAAGATGAGCCAGTAGGAGTGGATAAATAAAATCATGCATACACTACTATGGAACATTAGCCCCAAAAAGGAAGAGATTCTGACATATGCTACAATATGGATAAAACTTGGTAGGCACTGTGCTAAATAAAGTAAGACAGAAAAGGATAAATATCACATGACTCCAGCTACGTGAGGGATCTGGAATAATCAAATTCATAGAGACAGAAAGTAGAATGGTGGTTGCCAGGGGCTGGAGGACAGGAGAATGGAGAATTGTTATTTCCTGGATACGGAGGGCTCAGTAGATGCTAGGAATTGATCCCGGACCCTGTACGAGGTGGGCAGCCAAGCATGGGCCAGGCGCTACACCCCCAGCCCAAAGCGGCTCTACTCAGAGAAATGAAAAGATCAGTTCTGGGCCGGGGGGGGGGGTGTCTAGCTCAGTGGTTTCGCCCCCTACTGCGCAAGCGCAAGGACCCGAGTTCGATCCCCAGTACCAAAAAGAAAAAGATCAGTTCTGGAGGTGGAACGTGGCGATGGTTACACAACAGAGTGAATGCTCTTCACACCACGGAACTGGACACTTCACACAGGTGAAAGCGTTTATGCGAGCCCTGATGGCGCCCATCGGTACTCCCAGCCTCTCAGGAGGCCAAGGCAAGAGAATCCCTGATCCCAGGCATGCGTGACCTGCCCGGGCCACTACGGAGACCCTGTTTCAGAAGAGGCGGAGGACGGCGGGAAGGAGGGCGGGGCCGGGTGATGTCACTTCCAGGCAAACCAGGCGAAACCAGGGTGCCTCCTCCCTCCGTCCTTTAGCGTGGTGACCTTGGCGGGTCAGAAGTCAGAAAGGGTTCCGGGGTGCGGGCAGCCAGGAGACACCAACTCCAGACAAGCCCAGCCAACCTGCACTGCACTATTCCTGTGAGAAATAAACTGCTTTAAACCGCTGAGATTTGGGGTTTATTTGTTATGATAGTATGGCCACACCTTTACTGTCCACAGTGAATAACCAAAAGTGATAATGTGGGAATCGTTATTAGCTTCCTTACTCATTAAGGGTCTCCTTCTGACCCGGGTGTGATGGCACAGGCCTGTCATCCCAGCATTCAAGAGGCTGAGGCAGGAGGATGGCCTCGAGTTCAAGACCAGCCTGGGCTACATAGTGGGTTCAAGACCAGCCTGAACTACAAAGGGAGACCCTGTCTCAAAACAAACCAAGTCCCATTCTGTGAGCACTTCTTCAAATGCAAAGTAGCCATCATTAAATACTAAGGAACACGAAGGGTTAAGACTGAGTTCTGAAAAGCATCAGCCACTACTGGAAATGAAGCAAGGTAAGGAATCTTATGAAAACTAAATAATCCAACAGAAGAATGGATATGAAGATCATCAGCTTTAAAAATAGTTGCTTTCGGGCTGGGGATTTAGCTCAGTGGTTTCGCCGCCTGCTGCGCAAGTGCAAGGACTCAAATTCGATCCCCAGTACCAAAAAAATAGTTGCTTTCTCTGTAAACTGGTAGCCGAGGCTGGCCTCAAACTCAGGTTGATCGTCCTGCCTTAACCCTGGGAATGGTGTGGGAATTCTCCATGTAAGAGAAGAGTTTGTCTTCCAGCTGTGCCCGCTTGTCTTAGCCATTCCTGTCTCCAGGCTCGGCTGGCCATGGAATCCACAGCTTCCCAACCTGGTCCGTTGAGAGAGCTGAAGTTTCTAGGTCTCGCCATGATAGGGCTGAGCAGATGTTCAAAACATCAAGCTGTGACAGAAAGCTCCCCACCCACTCCAAATCTCCTGCTGAGTTCTCAACAGACTTCCCTTTTCCGTTTCCTTTTTCCCCTCTTTCTAATTTTTTTTCTTCAAGCGGCTGCCAAAACCATCTTCCTCTATTGTTGTCCTGGTGATGTCATCCCCTGCTGCCTGTTTCCGCCACCTGCCTCTGCCACCTTTGCCCCTTATTTCTTGCTGCTTTGCTCCAGTTGTGACACAAGGTTGTCATTTTTGATATCCCAGTGGTGAGATACCCACCTATTCGAACACAGTATTCTATTCTGGGTCTACTAACTATTCCAGGAGTTCCCAGCTCCATTCCAAACTATGTATTCATTAGTCAGGAATAAATGAAGCACCTTCAGCATCCATGGCATTATTTTAGGTACTGTAAAAGGAAGTGTAAGAGAAGTAAAAAAAGGTCTAGTGTGGTGGCACATGCCTGTAATCCCAGCTGTTTGGGAGGCTGTGGCAGGAGAATCACCAGTTTAAAGCCAGCCTGGGCAATTTAGCAATGTTCTGTCTCAAAAATTTTTTAAAAAATTTTTAAAGGCTGAAAATCAGCTAGAATTGACTCTCCTCAATAGACTGTATTAGTCAGCTTTCCCATCGCTCAGACACAACACCAGACACCCACAACTCAGAGGAGCAGAGGTTTAATTTAGCACACACTTTCAGTCCATGATAGGCTGGCTCTGTGGCTGAAACCTCATGGCCAAAGGGCGTGGTGGAGCACAGCTGCTGGGTTCATGGTCCCCAGGAAGCAGAGGAGGGAACAGTGCCAGAGAGGGACAGGCTGGGGCCCAGAACTACACCTCCATGAGCACCCGGAGCGCTCTCTGCTCATCTGCTGGGTGTCTCTTACCCCAGTAAAGGCGATGTATCAGTGTCAACAGTCACAGAAACCAAGGGAACAAAGTAACAGGAGAAAAGTATGCAATGGTCCAAAAACACCACACCATCAGACTGGGAGATCTACATCATTCTAGGTAACTTTTATGCTGCTAAGATTAAAACTTCCAGCCAGGCATAGTGGTGGACATCTGTAATCCCAGCACTCGGGAGGCTGAGGCAGGAGGATCACCACGAGTATGAGCCTAGCCTGGGCTATACACAGTGTGTTCAAGGCCAGGCTGAACTGCATAGCGAGATCCTGTCTCAAAAAACAAAACAAAACAAAAAAGAGTTCAACTTCAATTAAAAAGGATTTGGGTCTTACATTGGTGTTAAGGCTATCAATTCTACACTGAATCACGAATTTTTTCTCATTTCCACAGTGTGTCATGACCCTATTCAAAAGAGAATATATTGTTATTTTTTGTATTATTATTTTTCTAGTGCGCTTAAGACAATTCAGTAAATTGTATCAAATCAACACAGGAAAATATGTTGTAGTAACAGAAAAAAAAAAAGGAAATTTTGTCAAAGTGTTTAAAATGAGCAAAGCTATCAACCAGAGGGTACAACATTATTCAGTGAACCAAACCACAGTAACACTAGGCTGGAGAACAAAGGGAGACAACCAGATCATACTCTCTGGGGTATTGGTGTGATATTTACACTGATATAAATTTTTGAGATTCTAACATGATTATACTTCCCAAACAACGTTTCGAAAGAAACCACTTCTTAACTGAAGACCTTCGGAATCATTTTTGCTTAGGAGTTCGGAATTTATTCTAATGAGATATAGTGCTTTCGGAAAAAATACTGAGTTTAACGTCCTGTGTCCCACCCCCACCCCACCCATCCCCCACCCCGTGACGGGCCTTGCACATGCGCAGCAAGCACTCTCAGGATGAGCAACACGGCCAAGTTCCTTGGTCGATAGATTTGACACGTGGTGATTGGCATACTGCTTTGCATCTGTCACTCTTGTTTCCTCACCTGTAAAATGGAGATGGTAGCCGGGGATTTAGCTCAGTGGTTCTGGCGCCTGCCTGGCAAGCACAAGGTCCCGAGCTCGAGCCCCAATACCAAAAAATAAATTTTTTTTTTAAATGGAGATAGAGACATCCAGAGGATGGTTGTAAGGATGAAATGTGACAATGTATTTCAATGATTTGGAGCCCAGCCTGGGCAACTTAGTGACTTAG